ATCCATCACCTGTATTATTTTCACAGCTCTGCAGGAGTACATTACTTTTCCGTACATGCGTGTTATACTCTCCAGCTTGTAACTATACCAAGACGGTACTTCTTCTTCTCAATTTTATATTCTTCAGCTTGTGTTGTTGTTTACGTGCATTGAATTTTTCAGAGGATTTACCATACCTAATCAGGGTTATAAATGACTAAGTCCAAGTATTAAAGTATTTTAATTCTACCGCTAATCGTCTTCACCTTTTTAGCTGATACCGACTGCACTCTATCACTTTCCTCTGGTACAGCCAAACGAATCAACTTCATTAAGTACGCGAGGGTGACATTTTACTCGGCCACCCATCGATCTTTTAATGCGCGAAGGTGGGACTCTCCAGGATGTTTGGTTTAGTTACTGCGTTAGTTGAACTTGGATAGACAGTCCAATAATGCAAATTATGCTTTCCTCAGTTCAAATTGGAAGTTCAGACGGAGTGCACGGTTCTGAATTTCATGGTTCAAACACGCTCATTATCAGTTTTCCCGAAAATCACTCAAGACTTCACTATTTTGCAGACCTGAAGGATCATGATTCGATACGCACTACTGTTGGTTGCGTTCGCGTACGTCGGCAGAGCGAATACGGTTTCGGCCGTCAAGGTCGCTGGCATGATTTATGCCACCGGCAAACTACCAGCAGGCCCCACCGAAATGAAATTCGTCTCCTCCCAAGACTCTACCAATCCGGACAGCAAACGGTTCCTTCGACATGAAGCTGTAGTCACCAGAAAAGATGACATTGATGTCAATTCTACCGAAGAGCGAGCTATTATTGGCTCGGCTTTGAAGAACGGCGTGTTCAAAATTCTTGCATCGCGTGGCATTCTCCCGCAGACGATCTATGCGAAATTAGGCATTCGTAGTGGCAAAGCTCCCGCGTTTGTTCACTGGATTTCTAACAACTATCAAAGATAGTTCGCTACTCATGGCCCCAGGGTTGGATAAATGCTGCCCGGGCATGTTATTGAGATAGAAACCATGCCTTCTGTCATACAGATTTATCCCACGTTTTAGTCTTTCTTCAAGAGCCGTGCTAGCACAAGAACACGAACGAAATGATTGGTTTTGCGACATATTTCAAAGGTTTTCTAGAAGCAATTCTAACATCGCTTATTAAAAAAAATGTCAAAGTTCTTTGCTGTATAGTATTGGCTTTGAAATAAGAGTAAAAAAAAGCCTCTGGTCACAAACTACAGAAGTATTGGATTGCAAAGATGGGTGTCCGAAAAGCAAGGCTAACTTCTAGAGTCGATGGGTTTAAATATGCAGATTGCACTAGTTTTTATACTGGCAGCACTTCTCGTACTAAGTAAACGCAAAGCCCAACATGGCTTAAATTCAATTGCACCATTGTATTTTCTACGCAATTCCTACGTTTGCAATTGTAAATGTAGGAGTTTCGGGGTCTTCAGGGAATAGTTTTAGCAGATCCTAAGTATCTGTTTCAAATATTTAGATAGAGTCACAAAAGGGAAAATAAATGCTAGAATGATCATCATCTTATGTATTTTTACTTTAAGTATGCATTTCGTTCTCACCTTAGTCAGCACCACTAGCCCAATCTGTCTAGTTCGTCCGACAAGGCGTCGCGATAATTCTCGCGGATCCATCCCAGCATGTCCAGACTTAGATATTCCACAATTTTAACAGCTTTTGTACACCCTCCCCGTTTTATTCGATGTAGGAACAAAACAGTCTCAAACGACAGGGAAAGTGCAGCATTTTCCATTGCGAAGGCGGGAAACTCTTCACTGTAATGCACATGTAGCCATTTGATGACATCTAAGTGGCCGTGCAAAGCGGCTTTGTAGATCGCTGTGCTTGTACAGCCTTCAGAGCGATGCTCGTGTAGCCATTTGACAAGGTTCAATGCTCCACTGGACGCCGCACCATCCATTGCTGCAGTGGTGCATCCTTCGGATCTGTGATCGTTGAGCCATTTCACGACTTCAAAATGTCCGCCACGAGCAGCTCCGTCCATAGCACTTACGGTACAGCCTAAACCACGTGCATGCAGCCACTTTAGAATATCCATATGACCGCCAGAAGCAGCACCATCCATCGCGCTCGACGTCCACTTTATCTTTACGTTTTTGTAAAGCCACTGGACAACTTCAAAGTGTCCATTTCGTGCAGCAAGACTCATGGCTTCTGTCGTGCATCCTTTATTTTCATTCTCAAAAAGCCAACGTAAAACATGTAAATGGCCATTGGCGGCCGCTCCGTCCATTGCTGCAGTTGTATAACCAGGCTTGGATGGTTCAGTGTGCAGTTCCATTTCTCTCGGTGACGAGGGGTAGATCGGGTCCGGGAATTTGCGCAGGCGTCTTCTTTTATTTAAATTCTCCTCGGAAAAGTCTTTTGCAGCTTGATGTAGAAACTGTTGGACTTCGAAGTGGCCATTACTCGCAGCGGCGTCGAATGCACTTTCATTTACGTAAGTATCGTCATTACGAGACCAGAAGAGGTTGAGTGTTGGGTCGTTGCTATACGTCTGATAAAGCCACTGTACAACTTCGAGAAGGCCTTTTTGAGCGGCGAGGAACATGGTTCTGCCTGAGACCATCTTCGGTTCAAAATTTAGCCCAAGGTCTTTAATAGCTCGGATGGTCTGGCGTTGTCTTACTTGCTCAATTTCTTCATCTTTAGCATTGAGAGGCCCGCCAACACGAGCGTGTAGATACTTGGCAACTTCCAGATGTCCGTTCACAGCGGCACTGTGGATTGCAAGACTTGCTTCACCACCCAAACTGGTGCTATGTCTTCGAGAACTTCTCTCATCATCGGAATTATAGCCAAAAGGGCTACTTTCGCCGTTTTCGTGGTCACTTGAAGTCTCAATACTCCAGTCTCTATCAATGATCCAACGCACTACACGCATCTGACCAGCTTCTGAAGCTCTCAGCAGCAACCCAACGAAGTCGTCTTGTACGAATCCTTCATCTATCAAGAACTCAAGCATGTTAACATGCCCATTGGCGGCGGCTTCATGCATGCCTCTACAGCGTGTCATACTTATTCTTTCCAACAGCCACCTTAACAAGTCTACCTCTCCACTTGCAACAGTAGCCTTTAACGTTTCTTCATTGTTTCTCGCATCACTCCCTGCCTGTTCGTATAGCCACATAACGATGTCTCTATGACCGGCAGTGGCAGCTTTTGCAGCGTCTTCGTAGCCCCAGTCGACACAGAAGTTCTTCCCCTCTTCAGTATCGTCCTCGAAGTAGTCTTCACTTTCAAGTGAATTGAGATTGTATCCGTTATCGAGAAAATATTGGAGAATTTCTAAAGTCCCGATAGATGCAGCTTCCTCCAAACATTGTTGGGTTACCATGAAACCAGGTAAATGGTCGCAAAGCCAGTGAACCATCTCCACATTCCTCAGTTTAACAGCTTCCATAATAGAGAATGTGAACTGGAAGCCTCTGTAATGAGTTTCTGTATGCAGGAGATTGCGAATAGACCACGAGGAATCCGAAGAAGCTGCGACTTCGAGGGAGCTATCCCAAATACGGTCTAAGAGGCGAATGGAATTGAAACGACAGGCTTTCTTGATCGGTAACTCCACTGATGAATCCAGGAAAGTCGATACCGACTCGACAACGTGAGCTAGAGACTCGAGCCCAGGCTTCGAGCAGAAGACCAACGTCACAGCAAGCAGCGAGTCAACGGAAGAAGTTGCCATCGCGACACTTCTTCAGGTGCGTTGAATAGAAAAGAGCGTTCAGTTATTTTTACAAGCTTATTTTCAAATAAATAAGAAATCTGTTTCATTTAAAACAAAAATACTGTTCTGAGCTCACAAATTCATTTCCGAAAACAGAAAAGAACTTTCAATAATAAAATAATAAAGAATTTCTAGAAGAAAAAAAACGAAGCCACAACGACTAAAAAGACGTCAAATACGAAGTGTATAGCCGTCGCAGGAGCAGCCAAGCTGTAAGGTTATACGTCCCATTGCTATTGCAGTGATTGCGAAAACTACAGCACATATTCATCAGCACACAGTTTTCAAATTGGAGCCTTTCACCTCTCTTCGTCCACTTGACCATTCGGATAGCATTCTGCCAGCCACTTTCGAATGTCGCGACTGGGTGAGTCCCAGTATCTATGTCCTGTTGGACACTCCTTTTGCCTGACACTGGGCAAGATCAACACCGTTTCAAACTTTCCCTTCACAACTGCGTTGTTCATAGCAGTGGAGCTTCATCCGTTTGCGTTACTGTCATGCAGTTATCGAAGCACTCTCAAGTGCCATTTCGAGCAGCATTGTTGATCGCTGCCGCCGTGCATCCCTCCGACCGATTCTGTTTAAATTACTTCATAACATCAATCTCTCCACTGCCAGCAGCGCCATCCATCACCTTCCTAGTGCAGCCCTTCAGATCGGTAATCATTCAACCACTTCATTATTTCTAAATGTCCACCTTGTGCAGCTTCGTCCATAGCTTTAGTCGTGCATCCATCCAATTTTCGTGTAGCCATTTGACTACATGAAGGTATCCATTTCTCGCAGCTAGTGTCGGGGGGGGGCTGAGGTACAGACTCAAATTGGTTGTACGACTATTCCAATGGATAGCGCCGCCATTTGGAAGTCGTTCGTTGGTACATCAGAACCGGAGAGAAGGATGTACGAAAGATGGTATGGACGAGGTAATGTGGTTTCAAAGCGATAGTCGGCATCTTCGTATTCCTCACCGTCATGGGCGCTCTCCTCGCGATCTTTCTCAAGGATCCATCGCACAATAACCAAATGACCTTTTCCCACTGCCTTCACCAGTGTACCAGCACTAATTTCGTCATCATAGTATTTATTCTCATGCATCCATTTGAGCATCTCGTAGTGCGGCTTGTTGCTCCCCTGCTGCTCGTCATCGGTTCAATTTCTTCATCAACCACTGGACTAACTCGATATCTCCACGCCCTACGGCCATTTCCATCGTCTCTTCATCGTCTATAGAGCTGATATTTGTCTCATCGCACAGCCATTTTACGGCATTCCTGTGTCCAGCACGAGCTGCGTTGGCAGTCATGCCGATCCCAGTGGGTTTCTATTATGTCAGTACTCTTACGCTTCGTCTTCACTTCCGTTGCTAAATCCACGGCGTTTGTATCATTTTTGAAAGGAATTGGAGGATATCCAGCTCCGGCATGCGCAGCTTGTTGAATATCGCGTTGGGTTACCTTTAAACTGGGGGAAATGATCGAATATCCAGCAAACTATGTCCAAGTTTTGGCAGATTAGCAGCTTTAACTAGTGACAGAGTGAACTGGAATCTCTGATAGTTGTTTCGGTTCGTAGAAGGTTACGAATAGACCAGAACGTCCTGGTGTCTTTGTCCAGATCCACATTACTCGCCCAGATGCGGTTCAATAATGCCAAGGAGCTGAATTTGCACGCTTTTGCAAAGGAAAATCAACGGACGAGTCCAGGAAGGTGACACTAGCTCACGATCACAAGCGGAGGCGCCATCTTGACGACTGATGTGATCGTCGCTGACCGAAATTTGTTGCTTTTTCACCAAAAAAACTATTAACAAAACCAAGTACTCTTCAAGTAATGATTTTTTTCTCAGGTTATCTAACGCTCTTAACACTGGCCATTCCAGCTCATTCACTGGGTCCGCTGTTTATCCACTGGACCCGAAATGAACGTCGTTGTGGCACTGGTCGAACGGACTTCTCGCTTCTGTAGAATCGCCCCGCACTACTTTCGTTTACCATCAACTAAAGGAATGGTCTACACACCAAATCCGCAGCCCGTCTCGGTCAAGTAAAAGTTGTGCAAACCCCTGTACTGGTAATGCTTACCATCGTGGCTGTTGACGCTGCTACAAGCATTTTGCATGTATGCTTCGACGAGAGTTAGCACGGAGGTAGGAACACGAATTGGCCGACTCAGAAATGCAAACTTCCATTCCCATTCGCTTTCCATTTTAGTACATGTAAGGCCTGGGTCCGTGCGTAGCATACCACCTATTGTAGCTGTGGTAAAACCGGTTGTACAAAGCATTAGCTCTGCCAGTGCGTACACCCAGTTGCACGGAGACCGTTTGCGGCCTAACGCCAAATGCTGCAAGAATCTTATACAGAGCATTCTTCAAGGGCGTACCGATAAACCCTCGCTCTTCCGTAGAGTCATTATTCACAACTTCTTCCGCGGTGGTCTTCGTTTCTTGGCGAAGGAACCTTTTAGTCTCCTGG